CGACTGTCATCATGGGTACCGAGAGAACCGTCGCCGTCCAGCTGACGGAGGACTGGACAATGGACAAAGCATCACTCGCCTTCCTCTTCCATCCGAGCACTCATCCCTTTCGAGAAGTCAAGAAGAACACCAACGCTTGGCTTCATATAAGCCAGAAGATCGATGGGCATGGTGGCAATGAGTGGGCTATCATCACACCCCTCAAAACGACACCGGAGGGACTCGTCGAGATATTTCCTGGCGATCATTCCAGAGTCGAGTTTCTATACCAGCTTCTTCGAGCCGGACTCCGCCCGCGTCATCAAAGATTGGGGAACCAAGGATGTCGAATTCTTCCGGGTAGCACAGAAGTTCATCACGACGTACTTTTGAATAAACGACGTGCTCGTATGCGACGAACTGGGCACCACTCTGCCGGATTTGATCACGGTCAAAGTAGCCACATTTAGTGCTCAACATGGCTTCGAAGCAGAATCTCCCACTTACACTATCCATAGCAGCTATGTAAACTATGGCTATGAGAAGGCCGATAATTACGTCAACAACCGTCACGTTGTGAAGCGAAGAGCGAGTCAGATGAACTAGAGCCTGATAGAAGCTACACACTGAGCATGGGCACTCTCGTGGAGATCTGTGTTGCTGACGGCTTCATTTTCCGGGCTAATATTCAATTGCGAACCGGAGGTTTCCGCTCTCGCGTCTAGGGTTGATATTAGTGGCTATAGAGAGTTGAGGGAGCATCGAGACTTTCCCAGCGGCAGCTATCAACAGGCGAAGCAGGTCAGTTTAGAAGGGTCAAAGGTCAGTTCTGGCGATCAAGAAGAAAAAGTAACCTTGGGGGTTTCAGTCTATAGAAAATACAGAGAATTGCCGGGAGTATCAAGAGAAAATCACAATATGCCTCCCACCCATGAACGCCAAATCATGTACCCAATTCTACACGAGAAAATCATTCCGATCCCTCCTTCTCCTCCGATTCCTGATCCCCCTTTGACCCCTTGATCTTGTCCCAAACCTTTCCAAACTTATCCTTGAGCCAATCCCAAACTCCAATCATGGCTTCCTTGCCCTTCTGCATGGCGTCTTCATCGGCTCCTTCGCTCTCTTCATCATCTCCTTTCTCGTTATCGTTCGACGCCGGCGCGGAAGGCGTCGGCTGGGGAACGGGGTCCACCTGGATGGACTTATCAGGGGTAGCCGACTGTCCCGCTGGTGGCGTGCTGGTAGGAGCGGGGACCTGGGTTGTGGTGTACGGGGGCACAGGGTCCTCGGGCTCCGGGGGCGTGTCCTCGGACTTGTGAGTGCCCATGGTAGTGAGCGGCAGGCGCAGAGTGCCGTTGTTGGGCTCGGGGATGAGACCAACAGAATCACACAGGATGTTGTACACGTTAATGTTTTCTACTCACGTTAGTCCGAGCTTGTGGTATGACATAATACTTGCGAAGCAAACTTACGAAAGTTGTCGATCTGGCTGTTTGGCGGATGAGGGAAAGCTGGCCCGCGGGCGATGAAGATGGCGCGCATAAGAGGATGCTCGTGATCGTACCCATGCAATCCGCGGGGGTTATAGACCGTACCATCCTTCAGCGCCTTCTCCACATCCATCTCTTCTTTTGTAACAATGGCCCATCCAGCCTTGGGCACGATCCACAGGGGTGCAATACGCTTGTTCTTGGAAAAGTGGTAGCGCTCGGGCATGTTGACGTCGCGAAGGTAGACCTCAAAGTTGGGGTTCGTCTTGGACTTCTCAACCAAGCCGTCGTACAGCCCCTGAAGGTCATCTGGATTCTTGGGCCGGAGGCCGTACAGCGGCCAGCCGTCGGTGTGCTCGATCTTCGAGGTGTCGACGAGATCTTCAAGCTGAAGCAGCCGCGCCGTATCTGTTGTGGCCATGCCGTGATCAGACACGACAATGACATTGACAATATTGGTAAGGTTGCGCTGCTCGAGAGCCAGGAAGAGCTGATCCATCATAGCATCGGCCGACTCAATGGAGACCCGGATCTCCGTGCTGTTCGGTCCGTATCTATGGCCATCCGCGTCGACATTAGGCACGTAGGCAGCGATGAGCTGTGGGCGCATGTCTTCGACCTTGGCAGTCTTGTCTTCCATGCCCGGCTTGTCAAGAAACTCGAGGATCCTGCTGACCTTGTTGTCGAGTACTTCTTTCCCGTTAAACTTGTCGAGAAATGTTGGCTCAACACCGAGGATGTGCGCTTCACTGCCAGGCCACATGTGGATCGCGGAACGGATACCCTGCCTCTCGGCTGTCACCCAGAAAGGCTCTCCACTCCACCACTTCGCATCGAGGCTGCGCGCCGGATCTGTATAGTAGAACTCGGCCTGCATGTCCGGATCCCAGAACGTGTTTCCAACGATTCCGTGACTCTCGGGATGAAGACCAGTCGCCAGTGTGTAGTGATTCGGGAACGTGACGGACGGGAAAGCCGGGAGCATGTACTTTGGTGAAACACCCTCCTTCACGAAAGCGTTCAACCTCGGCGTGATCCCGCGCTGCAAAAAGTCGGCGCGGAAACCATCGAGACTGATGATGATCGTTGTTGGCGCGAAGAGCGCTGTGCCATTGCTGACGAAGTCGGCCTTGTGTGCCGACCTACTACCGATTGACAACTTCCAGGCCACCAGAAAGAGGATCGCGAAGCCGACGGCAATCATGCTGTGTATGAGCAGCCAACGGCGCCAAGTCCTCCTCTTATCGCTCTTCGCTTTGGTTACAATCTTGAGTCTCTGTCGGTCGAGTTCGTCGCTATCGTCCCTTTCGCTGCTTTCACCAGTCGAGCTCCCCTCCTTCATGGCCCCTTCTTCCATCTCGTACATCAGCTCGCCGTCCTCGCCGTGGGTCGCCTTCTCCAGCAGCCGATCCTTTTTCTGTTTCCTCCTCATACGTCGCTGTTGGCGCCTGTCCTTTTCGTCGAGAAGATTTTCCGATGAGCCATCTCTGGATCCGGGCCGTTGGCCGTCTGGGCCTCGACCAAATAACTTCAGTGGGTTCGGGACGGCGAGACCAGATCCTCGGCGTTGCAGCTCCTTTTTCTTGCGTGTCTCCTCGACGAGGTTTTCGATCTCCTCTTCTTCCATGAAAACTAGACTGTCGGCGGCGCGCAGCTCGCGACTGTTCCGCGCACGCAATTGCAACTGGTCATCATCACTGTCGCTGTCCTGGTCGCTTCGCGTGCTGTGGATGGACGAGGCGTCGTCGTCGTACGTATCGGGGGCAAGGAGGCTCGTATTGTCGCGGTCCGCCCGGGACCTTGCGCTGGGATGGCGTATGGACATGGTTTGACGGGAGGTGCCGGAGGGCAAAAGGCGAAGTATAGGTCGTTCCTAGGTCATGGACCGTGATGTTTGTGAGACGTAGACTCTTTTTGCTTGGAGTAAACGCCGAGCCGAACAATTCTTTCCCTTAATTTCTCTGGATCCCAAAATCGCAACCGGGACTCGAACCCCTGTGACGGACCACCTTGATGGCAACATTAGCTTATCATAGCGATAAAGTCACGTGGCGATCCGCTTTACTGCATGTCCCCCGTTTTCAGGGTCCATCTCTCGGCCTGTCACTGGCCCGTCAATCTGGAAACGGGGCCGAGCACGGCATGGCTCCGGTCCGCCTGACCCACTTGGTTCACAGGCTAAAATGAGCTCTATTCTCGGGGTTCCTCCTCGGACTCGGGGCCAATACTCGATCGTCACCTCATTCTACGACTTCTGTCCATTTGCTTCACTTGCCTGAGCATGCTTGTCAACATAGAGAGCATCGCCTATTGGGCATGATCTCTACGTGTAACATCAATGGCGCAAGACTCACTTAGTTATCTCAGTTGGCCAATTTCCTTCCGGCCTTCCTGCTGGCACAAGTATGCTTTAGGAATGCTAATACCAGGCCGACGGCAGAACCCGCTCGGGCTTCTTTGCAGGTCTGTTTCGGCTGACATATGCGCCACTATATCCCATTTTCTCAATGAATCAGGTCGAATTCGTGTGGCTGGAGAGCTGAGCAAGGGGTTTTACAATAAAGTTGCCGCTCAATACCCTACCTCTCTTCCCATCGTTGCTGTCACTGCTACTGATACACCTACTGTTGTAACTTGATGTTTTCCCCATAATCCTTGAGGAATATGCTTTGAAAGGCGTAGTGATGATCGTCATTATGGTAGTGGTTTTAAGAAGGCTGGCGGCCAAGGGGTGGACCAGCATACTATTCTGTCACCCATACTCGGCAATATCGGCATTGTTGCGTGCCGTATTGATAGTGGCGCTTTGTATCACACTCCTCATACTGGGCTTGTATCGAGAAAAGAAATGGGGTTACAAATGCGCCACAGTGAAGGCGTTGGAGCTCGTCTTCAAGATCATTGTTCGGGAAGTCCATCATGAATGATGGTAGTTGGTAGCACCATCAGTCTTCAGCTGGAAATGTGACCTCAGCCCAGTCTTCTGTTCATCTGGACCGCTAATAGTTCATGCCCAAAGGCCTCAACAGTTGGAAAGTACCAGCCTCAGCACGAAAAGGCATGTTTCTTGTTCGTGGCACCAGCCGGCGACACCACGGACAACGCCGAAGCTGCGCTCATTCTGATTGGTGGTCTTGGGCAAACAATGAATTTTGCATAATCCCACTCTCTCCTTTCTTTCTCACGCCCCTCGTCTAATAATGCCCCAAGCTTTGCAGACGTGAACCAGAGGGAGACAGCTGCAGTCGTAGGGCCCTGTCAAGGTCTCGCGAGGTGCCCCCTGAACAGTTGTGGTGGCTCTTTACTATTGGTTTTGGTGTCAAGGAGGTCGAGAGCTCATCGTATCAAGGCTCTATCTGGTAATTTGCAGAAGAATCAAAATCTCAATGGAATCTCAGCTATTGAACACTGGTAGTCAAGCAGTGTAATTCTCAAATTTACAATACGTCGCTAGCCTGTCAACGACTTGAGAAGCTCTTGCTACCTTAGACAACTGGTATCCAAACTTCGCCGACATGCTCCGGCGCCATGCACCGATTCCCCTCCTTGAACACCAGTGTCGTGTTTCGGACACCGTCCTGGCGCCGCGATGATGGGAGCCCGAAGAGTGCATCTAGCCCAATCATCCGCTGGAAATCCCATAACGAGGTCTTTCGGCGCTTCTCTGATGACGCGATAGAAGGCGAAGCAGGAGTTGATCGGTCGACATTTGAGTGAGTTTGCTCCGAGAAAGCGGTTATGTGCTGGGGACTCAGGCCCTTTGGGCAGAAGGACTGCATTGGTGTCGGCAGTCTCGCAGGGAGTAATTGCTGAGAGACATAATAGGAAAGCCGAGGCAGCGTACAGAAACGCTGTCAAGTCACTTCACTCTCATCTCAATAAGGACGAAGTTGCCGCAGTTCTATCGAAAAGCACTGTTGGCAAGCAGAGTGACTCAAAGCAGACCTTCATCGGATTGCTTGGGATATACAACGTACTAAAGAGGCGAAGCTAAGGGAAGGAAAGAAGAAGAAACTTATCGAGTGCTTGGATCATTCCCAGGGAGTCTTTGATATTCTGTCGCAAGCGGAGGTCTCAGGTCTACCGTTGATCTGGGGCGGGTTGAAGTTTGTACTCCTGGTAGGCATTCACCACTCTTAGCAGATGACACTCTATTCACTGGAGAATAGGTGACGAAGAACAACTCGAACGTTCTCTCCAAAGTTATCGATGTGATGATTGACATTGGGCGGGACCTGTAAAGGATACGAGGGTCCATCGCGCTGTATCCGACTCCGCGAATGCTCGAGTTCTCGTCCGAACTATATGCGGCGATCGTTGAGTTCCTGGAAAAGGTCATAAGAGATGCGAAGAATGCAGAGAAAAATATTTTAAGTACGTTGTTAAGCTAAGTACTTTAGATGGCTTTCCAACTCCTAACCAAAGTGCAGAGCGCGCGATAACGACCTTTTTACAGCCTTTTGAGGTCAGATATGGAGAATTAGTGGCGAAGATGAAGAAGACACAACGAGACATCCGCGAGGACGCAGAGCTATGTTTTCATGTCAGGCAGGCAATGACAAACCACGCCATAGACAAACACCAGGCTGTATTGCGGCTTCAAAGGCATTCGATGCACCAAGCTTTCAAATGTACGCAATTTGACGTTGTGGGAACGATGATATCCTGCTAATTCGTTCTAGACGTCGCTGAAAACCCTACAGCAGACCTTTTCAAAGCGATACGGAAGAAGTTGTTCAAGAATTTCGAAGTCCAAGCAGGATTCCACCAGGAGCTGCAAGCTGCATATGAGGTCACTACGTCAAAAGCGTGAATTGAATGGTTCAGTATGGAGCAGAAATACGTTCCATCGGGATACTCTCATGAGACAAAAGTGATCCAGGGAGAATGCGACGCCCCGGATCCGCAGCAGGCCTTGGTCTGGAAAAAGCAGCAGCGCAAGTCTGCGTCGCACGTCCCGTCGGCATATCTGATCTGGACGCGCGGGAAGACGGCGCAATCGGCGATAGCGTCACTCGCGGACCAGATCCTGGTCCAGAAGACAGAGGTCATGATAGACGCCGGGATCGATTTGGACCAGTTCAAGGAGGCCAACAACAATGTGGAGTCTCTCTGGAAGTTCTTCACCTATCTTACAACGGTTCTCGGTGGTTGCATGATTTACATCACCATCTGGTCTGTCGGTGAGTAGGAGTTTGCCATTGTCGGTAAATTTGTGCGGATGGCGAAGAATTGGAAGGGGCCGCCTGTCAATGTGACGCTCATTCATCCTTTCAGCGATAACTTTGCAAGAACGGATGATGTCGTGATACTCGATGACAAGTACGATGTTCATCCGCGACTTACGACGACGGACGCGATGTAGCACGTGCTACTGCTAGAAATCAACTCTGAGAGGAAGATCTCCGACACTATACGGAGCCTCTTGTGGGAGATGGTCTGGCGGGAAGTACGATACGCCGTCATTGGTATTGCTCTCACGCAAGTCATAGACAAGATACACATCGCAGCGAAAAGAGCCGCCCGAGAAACCACAGAGAGAAACCAGTCACCCTTTTCAGAAGCGGATATCAAACGGTGCGTCGCTGTGGTCGGAAAGTGGACAGCAGCCACCTGATCGATGAACAGCATGCGAGAGCAGATTCAACGGCACATTGACATTGTCGACATTCATCTTCCTCCTGACAGGAAGAAGCGGCTGGAGTGCAAGTTGACATTGCTGGTCTTTGAGCAAGACGAGAAGCTTGGCTTGCAACTGACGTTCGCGCAGCGGGAGGCCATATGAGTCGACGTGCAGGAAGCCGTAAAGCTAGGAACGGCTGAGATGTTTTGTGAAAATGTAGAGGAAATTATAGCTGCGATGCTTGAAGACCATCGTAATGAAGGCTCAGAAGGAAAGAAAAGTGTGAAAGGCTTGTCTTTCCCTGTCATCGATGCGTATTTTGGTAAGGGCGGGCGGTGAAAAGATTCGTTTTCTGGAAACAAGGACTTGGTTGCTGATGGGATTATGAATGCCATTGAAATTACATTTGTGGGATTGATTCAAGCGCTGGCGTTGCAAGAGACGGAATAATAGAATGGTCTCTGTGTTGACATCCGAAATTCTTGAGCATTTGTGGAGAAATCGTAACTTAATGAGATCATCAACAATGCGCTCTTCCATAGCCATCTAGCACCACGCATAGTACTCATTATCCTCCCACACAACCTCACCCTCGCCCTTCCACCGCAGACTGGGAATGCTGCCATCAAGTCTCTCGTCAAAGACGACCCGCACGGCACCCTCAGTCCTGTCACTCACACTCTTCGCGGAAGCCGAGACGCCCTCGTCAGGGTTCCAGACCAGCACTTTCGCGAGTCCCCATTCGGCGGCCTCAATCACCGCAGCCTGCAGCAGCGCGGTCACGTCGGCCTCCGGGTCGCCAGCCACGCGGAGGACCTTGAGCTTCTTCTCGCGGAAGTCGTGGTCCCAGTACACCCACGCCTTGCCGTCGACGGTGGCTGCTCCGCGGTGCGTCACCTCGCGGCCAGCGAGCTGCTTGGCCATGAAGCCGTCGCGCGTAAAGTGCCAGAGCATCTGGTCGGCCGAGGGTGCGAAGGCGACGTGCGTCTTGCCGTCCTCGGGCAGTTTCGCGAGCTTCTTCTTTAGGAGCTCGACGTCCTTTTCGCAATAGGCGGGGACCTCGCTTTCCACGAGGTATTGTACGCCGTCGGGCTTGCGTAGGACTGAAGCGTCGTCCGCGATGAGGGAGACTTGGAGGGACGGGTAGACGGCCCAGCCGAGGCGGGCGTAGTACGTGAGACCAATGTCGCTGTAGAGCGCGCTGGCTTTGGCATCGGCATCTATGGCTTCCTTGAGGCTGTTCAGTAGCCGCGTTGCCATGCCGTGGCCGCGGTAGGTCGGGTTGGTGTAAACGGAGGCGATGGCGTATGCTTTTTCCTCGCGGGGGGTTGAAGAGGAGGCATCGCGGATGAGGAGGGTCTTGGCGGTGGCTTCGCAGGATGAGATGATGTGCTCTGGATCGGCCGGGTTGAAGAGGACGTAGTAGTTGCACTGAGATGAAAGGGCCGTCTTGGAGAGCGCGACTTCGCGGGCCATGTAGTTCTCAAGGGACATTGGAGGGGCCCATGAGACGCCGTTGAGGCGCCATGCGGCCTCACGCTGGGCGGGTGTCGATGAGGCGAACTTGATTTCCTTTTCGGACCCGTGTTGGGCTACAATGAGGTCGGCCATGTTAGGCTGCGCAGGTGAAAGCGATGGAATGACGATGAAGGATGAGTTTGTAGATGAAATCGAGGCTGTTTCTCGGGTAGGTGAGATGATATGGCAGTAGTGAGTGGCTCGGTGACCTGCGTTTCAGCTAGGACACCAACACTCAGACTCTCTGAAGACGGCCGAGAAATGTACTTTTGAGTCCTTATGAGAAGTGAGATAAATGGCTATCTGAAGTAATAGATGCAAGTGAAGCTGAAAAGACTCGACTTGACGTGGGGTCCCTCATGGCAGATTCGCGGGGCTGAGTGGGACATCCCACAGCGGGGTTAACGAGTCCCCCAGTCTGGTTAAAGCCACGCCCTATCACTGTGGGAAACCCTGGTCACAACGGCCACAACCAGCCAAAAGGCGTACATGTCAGTTTGGCTTATTTGCCTCTCGTTCATTTATGTTGGAAAATGACCTGGCTCAAGTACGACAATAGCCACAAGGTAACCTCGGAAAGGGAGGTTCGGAGTGTATCGAAGGCATGTGAATAAACTTTCTGATAAAGAAAACCCTCATATAATCACGACTGAAGCAGATTTTTTGTGAGGCCTGCTCAGTTGGCCTCTTCGGATCTCAGTGGTATTTTGCTCCTGCAGCTAGACATACAGTATCATGAGAATCATCTCATCACAAAAGGGCGGTTCAATCCCTTCAAGTGGTAAGCTCCTGAAGTCCACCACTTGCAGACATAGGTCCGCTGGCCAGACGCAGGCTCTGTCCAGACCAAGTCCCCAGGACGTTCATGTTATTTAAGTGGATGTCACCAACAGTTCATTTGTACCCAACAGTAACGGGGATAGTCTTGACTAAGTACCGCATCAATTGTTAAAAGGAAAACGAAAAAGAAAACACGCATGATTCTGAAAGGATTCTGGATTTGGACTACCTCCGATGTCGCTCCGGCCCGCGGATCTGGGCCGGAGCCGGAGTGGGGCTGCACGGCATAGCGGACTAGGGCTCACGTTACCGAACTGAGATGTACCCGTGATTAGAAGATAGTGAGTGAAGAGCAAACAGAGCACAGCATGTTATTGAAGTGGAATTTGACTAGCCTCGCATCAGACTATGCCTAGCCCTTAGTTTGAACACTGCTTGATGTATTTCCCAGCCAGGCTCTTTGAAGAAACCCCAAGGCCAGCAACACTACAGTCCGCTCGGCACACTTCAATTTTGTACCAACTGGTCGAAACCGATCCTCCAGACTTCAGACGCTGTTCACACTGCCACACGAAGTGGTAAGCCTCCGAAAAGCTACGCATTCCCGAATCTTGAACGGACAATCATGTCCTTGTTAGGTGTCGTTCGATAAGGGACTCGCGATTCCGCGGGAAGGTCTCTGGTCTTGGCGTCGCGGAAATTGTACCAAGATTGACGCATGAAAAGGCTGCGGCACAACGTGTTAGCCAAAGATTGGGGGCGTAGAGATATAGATTGTTACTTACGCTTGGCCTGGGGTGAAAGATAGGTTCTTGTCACTGCATTTACCATCAGCATCATCGTTTCATCATGTACACAGCTCTCACAGAAAAAGTTCAACTAACCACGACGAGTACGCCATATAATTCCAAACTAGATCTTCGCCTGGGAACTCGGGGCACGTGTCCTTGGGCTTGCACTCATAGTTCTCGTGCCGCGACTGCGGCGTGTCTGGGATGTAGTCACCGTTGGGGACCTTACAGGAGCCCTGGAACGGGTGGTAGAGCCCCAGCCAGTGACCCGTTTCGTGGATCACAGCCTTTGCGAACAGAGTGCCATCCAGAGCGCTGTGGCCGATGACGACAGCGTCCCCGTCGAACCACGTCCCTGTCGCTCCCACGATACTGAAAGGGTTTGTCAATAAGTCGGGAAAGGCGGCGTATCCGATGAGGCCGGTATCCAGTTTCGGCACAATGTACAGGTTCAAAGTCTCAGGCCCGCCGATGCGAAGCGCTCTCTGCATTTCCCGAGTCTTGTCATGTCGGTGCTCCATGTGGTTCATGTTGGCGTAGGTGTCGTTGGCGACCTCGTATGTCTCGATGGGGCCGAAAGTGATGCCGTGCGTGGCGTAGCCGTCATTGAGGGTGGTTCCGATGTAACGGATTTCGATTCTCTAGGTAGATAGTCTAAGTCAGCGCATTGGACCTGAAGTAATGGTCTTTCTGATGAGCAAGTGGTGGGATAGTTACGTATTTGACCGAATTTCGCTGTTCTTCCGTTCCGACCAGGAAGACATTGACAGGTATGTGAATCGAGGATTGCTCTGTGTTCAAGGAGCGCTTAGAGAATGCCTCAAGAGCAGCCAAATCGTCCTCTCTTCCTAACGCATGAACCTTCTCATCCTGACCGCACCAGTTGAGGGGGTTCCTTGCAGTATCCAGAGAAGGACGTTGAGATGCTTGGGCAAGTGCGACGCTAAATAGCGACGCCATGCCCAAGATAGGGAGAAGGATGGTCTGGTAGATCATCATGAGCATAGGTATTAGTCTAGGGCGACTGATCAGACTTTTACGGCGGTTGTTGAGGAAATTAACCTGCGATGTGCCTGAAGGAGTGAGTAAATGGCACCCAGAACTGTATGTTGCAACTTGAAAGTTTTCACGATTCGTAATCCTCATAGGGTTTGAATGAATAAATAAAATAGATTTCTCCGCTATTTGTTTTCTGATTTTGCAGAAGTCTAAACTGCCATGGAAGACAATCTGCAGTCGCAGAGGTTACGAGGCGTTACGTGAAAACCATGGCTTTGGAGGCCAAAGCCAAACCAACCCTTGCGGTCTTTCGGACTCAAAAACCTTGTTGCAGGCTCACTCTAATCTTCTAGGGCCATATCATCCACCAAGAGCCGTAGTATTTGGTTACACTCAACTCAAATCTTTCCTTCGCGTCTCCAAACGTGTGTGGGAGAGAATGAGGCAACTTCAAGCCCACCTGCGCCCAAGCTAGGGTGTATTCTCCAAACCAATAAGGATTGGATCTGGGAGAACAATTCAAAGAGTGTACGTGTTTGAACGAGTATTAGGTCGCGGTGCATGGTCGATGCATTGTCGTACTATTGGCCAAATGAATCTGGTAACCGAGCCAGTGCGGTTGGCCACCTGATGGGATTCAGGCATGGCCAGACTGTGTACTCGTCCGGACCAATGTAAGACTGCAGCCATGCGCCCGTTGCGGGTATAAGCGCTAGAGTAATTCGCAGTAGTCGTCGTAATAGGGTCGAGGGATCAGCAAGAGGCTGACGCCAACCCGGGACTCCAAAGTCCCATGTGATGCAGTAGAGATTGATTTGTATAACCAATTTAGTCTTTTGTATCTGCAAAAACAATCAAGCCTTCTTCAAAAGACGCTTGAGTAGATTCTTGCTCGATGATGATGATGAACCTGTAGAAACTCAAGTTAGCAATCCAGGTCCCAGCCGCGAACTAATGGATAGACTACAATAAGTGAGACAACTTACCAGAGATGTCACCGTTGGCTTCGTTCTTCTCCTTGGACATCACAGGAGCGCCGTCCTTGTCGACAAGCGTTGACTCCGAGGACATGGCGCCGACAGTTGCTCGCGGTGCCGGAGCAGGCTGGCGAGGCCTGCGAGGCATGGCAGAAGCCTGCATGTGAGGGATCACAAAAGCTGATTCGTAGAAGGAGCCCGACATCGTGTTGTTGTTGTTGTTGTTGTTCTTGTTGCTGCTTGCCTTGCTGCTGCTGTCTGTCTTGTCCCGGAGGATGGCCTTGAGGTATTGCTGAGATTCGATGGAACTCATGTGGAGGAAGGGGAGTAGTAGTAGTAGAAGAATGGAGAGGTGGTTGGCTTGATGGTTCTTTGAAGTATCGTCAATGGATTTGTAATGTACTCAATGTCGTGCTTGATTTTGCTTGATAATATACGGTCTGAATCTAAGACCCCAGGGAGGAGGTCGTGGGCCGAGTCTTTTATACATCACGAGCCCGATGTTGATTTCCAATGCAAACGCGGCTTCGGCAAGGCAGTCCCCAATTGACTCACTCAATGAACACGAATGCACGTCCAATGTACATGGCATCATGTCAAAGGGCGCGGTTTGTGAGTCGTAGGTCAAAAAAGTTCACATTGGTACAAGTCTTGTCAGTGCTAGTGTCTGTTTTCGACGGGGGGTCAGACGGGGGGATCGTTGCCGAAGTGGAGGTGACCGCCGGCTCTCCGACCTAGGAGGGAGATTCCTAAAACCAATCACGCCTCGTTCCCAATCCTCGGGGCTGAAAGTTGCATCGTTCGGTTGGTGAGGCCCTTGGCGAAGAGGCTTGTACGGCCAGTCGTTTTGGGCTAGACCTGCACGACCAGTCACTTTCAACTTCAGGTTTATTCGTTGTTCGGTCAGTCAAGTCGGGCTAGAGGGTGGAGGTCTTGGAGGAGTCAAAAGATGAGAATTTAGTAATCGTGCGACGGCTTGAGAAGGTGGGGACCAACGGGCTGAGAGGTCCCACTTCCGAAGCCGACCCAACCGCCCGTGTTACCGAAGCCGAAGCCGAGACCTCACATCACCAACTTCACGCCGTCAATAGTCGAGCCGATGCCGTGTTGTTGGTGAGGATTTCCCATTCCCTTCCCGAAGTTTCTCTTACGAATCTGTCAACCTTGTAATACGGGGAATCTTGTGGGCTTCCGATCGCCTAAGTGAAGAGAAAGAATTCTTTCCCTATGGATTCAACACAAACACCACCACGGCTATTACTCCGAAAGAACGGGCGGCCGCAGGCGTGTGAGCCGTGCCGAAAGCGCAAAGTCGCCTGCGATCACGCGCAACCAGTATGCAACAGATGCAGAAAGTCGAAGCGTCCCGGGGAGGTGTGCGAGTACATTCTCGGTGACAGTCCAGCAACATCAAGAGAAACTCCTAGACAGACTCGGCCAAGAGAGCAACGTCGTGCTTCGAAAGCGCCGTCTATTCCCCTGACTTCGAACTTTCAGCCCACCGTCATACCGATATCGCAATTAAGTCCAAGATCAACGGCGGTTTCGCGGACGGCATCAACAGCAACAGCCACAACGTCGCCCGCGACATCGACGATCCGGCACCGCCCCTCGATCCCCGCAAGTCTCCCCACCAGCCCGGACTCGGCCGGCACGGCAGCCACTCCGGCCGTCACACCGGCCGTCCTCGGCATCGGCTACCTCGGCTTCACCTCCTTCTGCGGCATCTACGAAGAGACTCGCTCAAGTCTGAAGCAGCTTCAGCCATCCAGCGCGGCGCCCATCGGAGAGATCGGGACCACCGCCTACTGCGGACTCGAGTGCTCTCCGCCCCTGACGGCGCAGGCGCTCGAGACATGCCTAACCATCCTCCGCCACATCCCAGACCGCGAGACGGGGCTCAACCTGTTCGACAGCCACCTGAGCCCGAGCGACGGGTGGATCCGCTTGGCGGCAAAACACATGATGATATCGCTGTACGACACGTTCCCGCAGTACTTTGCCGCCGGCGAAAACGACCGACGGCCAGATGATGCCCAGCTCACCTCGCTCGCTCGCACCATCTGCGGAAACACCGCAAAGTGCGTGTCTGATGAGGAGTCGGACCCGGCCAAGTGGATGGCGCAGTTCACCGGCACCAATCTGCGGTGGGAGTCGTTGGGCGTGATGTTCGCGTACTGGGAGCTGGCGGCTCGTTATATCGGACCGTACCGGCCTGACGTCGGCTCCCGGTTCCAGTGCGTGGATGAAGGGACAAAGGTGGTCATGCAGTATCGGTATTGCCTTGGTGCTTGTATAGAGTTGACCAAGGCTGCGGGTAGCGGGGGAAACACATTGCTCCTTTTCATGTGTTCGAAGCGGACGATCATCGAGTCGCTCTTCTCAGGTGATGCTAGTAAGTGATGTCTCTACTTGTACCCTAAAAGGCTGTTTTCGTCTCTACCTATGGAGTAAATCAATATTCCTGATCCCCGCGTGGATGTCCACTAACGCTTCGTCTTAGGCTTCGCCTGTTGGCAACTCCACGCAGAGACGGTAGCTCTATCAACATTCCTCGGCTTCCACGACGAAGTCGCAGCGGCGCCGGGGGTAGGCTACAAGCCGACCGTCTGCTCCGAGATCAAGCGCAAACTCTTCTCCTACGTCTTCTACGTAGACAAGGTCCTGGCCTCGTTCGCCGGCCGGCCGCCCCTGATCAGCCGCCGGTACGCACGCACACCACCACCCCTAGACCTGAAGGACGACCACCTCCTCTCCGACGAGGCCTCGCTGGCGCGCCACGTCGCCGCGCTCGACGAGAACGGGTGGAACACTGAGGGCGGGCTTTACTCGGCCACCATCGTCCGGGCCCGGGTGATGTTGGCACATATCCGGGACGAAATATTCGAGATCGCGCTTGGACAGGGTTCCGTGACGCTGGTTGAGACGTTATTGTAAGTGACTGGGGTGCTACTTGCTCTGTGAACTTATCCGAAGAGATGAGTGTGTCGCTGATTTTGGTTGTGCAGAGAAATCAAGGAAAGGCAACTTCGGACCGTCGCCGGGTTCCCTGATATCATGACCCTGAAAGAAGAAGACGTGCAGAACCGGAAACTCGACATCTCGATACTGTACACTCGACTCATCATGAAGCTGGAACACCTCCAAAACATGTTCTTCATCGAGCGTCTACTCGCGAAAAGAGGCCACGACGACGGCGCCTTGCTGTCCGTCAGCTACGAGATGGTTTCCAAGACCCTCATGTTCTGGACAAACATGGATCGTCTATCTTGCATGAACGGTGACTTTGAATGGCTCGTACGTATCCCAAGACCCTAAATCTGCCAGTCTCTCCCAACACTTTCCTGCCCTTGAGAACAAACACCAAAGATTACTCACACAATCACCAGGTAATGGCCTACGCAGCCCCAGGAGGCGGCATCCTCTGCATGGAACTCCTAAAACCCACTCTCCACGGCGGCCACCACCCGCAGAACCCCCAAGTCTCCCGCTCGAGCATCATCCAGAAGCTGAGCCTCCTCGTTGGCTTCTTGGACTGGGTCAGCCCCACGGCGCCCAACGGCGACCTCTGCGCCGACTGCAAGGTCATCATCCAGCGCGTCCTCGATCAGGCGCTCAACAGCCCCGCGGCGTCGGCCTCGTCTGCCGTCGACGGCGGGTTGCCCGCCGGGGCAATGCTGGATATCCCCATGGACTGGGATTTCTCTACGCAGCTTGACTTCAACTTTGATTTGCTTGATACGTTTGATTGGTTGCGTCCCGAGGTGTCTTCGAGTCAACAGTCGTCGTAGTGGCTCGTGGGGGGGGGGGGTGGAAGTGTTCGTGTTAGCTGGTGGCTCTTGCATTCTGTTTTCCTCTTTCCACATCTATACCCAGGTTTTCACATTTTTGCTATTGTTGTATCAACTGCTAGATGGCGTCAGAACATCCGTTTCCAGTCTTTCTCTGATTCTGCTTTATTTCGACGTTATTCATGGACAGACGTCAAGGAAGTGGTGTGAGCTCCAGACTTTACAACTCAATGTTATACCTCATTAAAGGACGTGATATATATTGCCGCTTTGTCGAAGTTGATGGGATAGTGTAGGTAAAGCAAAATCACTGTCATAATCAGCCTCAGGATGTTCACATCTCCGTCACGCCCACACCCTCGACCGCTGTGGTTCCACATCCAATGGTCTCAAGGAGCAACCATTCAAAAACCATAGTGCTTCGATTCATGGTATGACTTCAGAATGTTTCCTAGTCAGCAGAGACATAGATCGTGACGAAGACAGGACCATCAACCTAGTCAAGTCACCTCGTGGTGTAGGCATCACTTCTTACAGGTCCCTATTTAGCCGTTGATGTAGGCACAGTCTTGTCGATGTAGCATATCACAACGGCGAGATAGATCTTTGCTTGGAGCACCTGCATCTGGAGAAAGGCTTAATATGACGAGCGACTATGCTACCACCTCAAGAGATTACACTCCCGTGTAGCGCGAATGCCGTCGTTGGACCAGAGCAATAACCCCCGTGATCGCAGTCCAAGCAATCATGGACTAGATCCCCAACATACGCAAGGAATCGCGAATCAGCTTCCCATCTACACTGACGGATTCTACGTGAGACCTGTCACAGCCACGACAGGCCGGTACCACAGGGCCATCACATCATATCCGGAATACTCGCCAGGGTAGCCGCCGCTAAGCGATTCATCGGATCCCAGCCGATTCATATCCCACTTCTTCCAAACGAGATCTCGAAACGTTTAAGCTATCGAAAAAAGCACCGGGCCGGCCCTTGCTGCCGCTTCATAGAGCGCAATGCCACGAGGACCTCCCACCTTGATTCCAGTGCGGTTCTCTTGCCCATGTCGTCACTAGGCACCCACTTAAGCCATGCGTGCCATCAGAGTCCCGGGCTGGTCTTCTCGGCTCCGGGGAGAGCCGCCACTGATCACCAGTGGAAAAAAGGTTGGCCCAGAAGAAGTGGAGTTTTAGCGTACTTTTTTTTTTGCAGCCGAGAAGCACACATACGCGAGAAATCGCCACTTCAACCAAGACGTCACTCGACTCGACTGCGCGGAGAATTCCCATGTTGCAGCGTGGGCCCCGGCTGTAATCCATCGTGCCATCACAGCTCTTCCGCGGAATCGATGGGCATCTTTTAGCATTAGCCTGATACATACGCCCGGTGACCTGGTTAAGCTGACACGGTGATATCAACAACTGCGCAAGGAAAAGATCGCTCGACTATAATTGCCTGCCGGTAGTCAGAAAAGACGTCTGGATGATGGCACACTCGCTCATCGAGATTGCCTAGACCAAACAAACGTAGAGCAGCCACATGGCGATCCGGAAATAGCAGGCAAATGCTATGGGTATTCATAATACTGCACTTGATTGGCATCGGCTATAAACATGACGGCT